TTCTATGTATACGTTAAGTATAGAGAGCTTAAAAGAGGTTTGCCCGCAGCCAAACTGATGCCTACCGTTCTAAATAGAGATGTAATCATTTTGATCGCGTTGCTCCAACAGCCGCAATGGTCGTGTGAGTAAAGCAGTGATGCGCAGAGAGAGCATTTACTCTATACGCGCGTATACAAAATGTATGGAAAGCTTAAAAGAGCTTTGCCCGCGGGAAAGGCGGTACCCATCAGTGGAGTGATGTTTTTAATTAAATTTTTACGTTTATTGCTTTATAAAATATGTATTTTTTAATTACAGTTCATTTTTATAAACTCATTTATTATAATTAAAAGAAATATAAATAAAAAAGGGAAACATTTACTGTAAAAAAATCAGATAAGTTCCTAAAAATTAAATTTATATAAAAAAATAATTTTCTACTTGAAAAAATAAAATATGAGAATCGCAAAGAAAAAATTTATCAGATAATTTCATAAAAATTAAATTAAATAAAAACAAACTTTTCTTTTTGAAAAACTAAAACCTAAAAATTAAAACAAAAGAATATTAAACACCAAAAAATAAATACAGTAAAAAAATTCCTTTTTTAAATTTAATTTTTTTCTTTTTTGATTTATTTTTGTTTAATTAAGATTTTATTTTTTTTAGAATAAAATTGTTTAATCTAATTTAATTTTTGAGAACTTATTTTTTTTAATTTTTCAATTTATTGTTCTTTTATTTTTTTGATTTTATCGTTTTAAAAAGAAAAAATATGGATGTTTTAAAATTTTCTTAATGTTTAGAAATTTTTTTCAGTTTTTGTTGTTAAAAAGAGAAAAATATTTTTTTTTTAAATTTAATTTTTTAGAAAACTGATCGCTAAAAGACAAACAAAGCATCGGTAAGACCTCCTCGTAAACAAATTTCTCAATTAGCCTTCGAAAGACTGAACACAGCTTTCAAGATAGTTGCCAGAATTGACAATTGACTTACGAAAGACTTTTGTTTTTTATTTCACGTTCCACCCTGCAGCAGCTAGAAATCCAAAGCTCCGTCAAAGCTTTCCTCATTTGGTCTTTACAGGAACAACTCCAGAGCTTTTGCATCCATTTATACGACAAGACTTATGCAGCTTTATATTAATTCTGGTGGCCATCTCGTGGTGAGGCCGTAAGTAGAAAGTCAGCGAAGTTTTCACAGTTACTTATAGTTCTAAGCCTGTCAGAGACCGGAAGAAAGAGTCGTATCACAATGCCTCAGTAAACTGAACCTTCAGACAACCATTTGAACTCCACCTTCTCTATAGATATTTAATATTTTAGATAAAATTAAGGTATCTAAACGAAAACGAACTATCTACAACAAATCGTTTTACTTTTCCAGGCATGCAACACTACGTCATACCAAACTATGAGCCATGGGGTCTTCCGCTGAATGAAACAACAATGGCGCAGATTTTCAAACAGCACGGATACTATACGAGTATTATTGGCAAATGGCATCAGGGTATGTCACGCAAAGCATATACGCCTACGAGGAGAGGCTTCGATCATCATTTCGGCTACTTGGGTGCCTATGTGGATTACTATGCTCAAACCTTGGATGCTACGGTAAGTTAATATTTCTGTAGCTACATATAACTAAAAATTAATATTTTTTTGCTATTCTTATCGTATTTACAAAATTAAAATTTGAATAACAAAAATGCCAGTTGCATCGGCAAATTCGAATAGCAAACAAATTACTAACTATGAGTAATAAACATTTTTCTCTACTTAGTACAAAAATCTATCACGCGGTCACGATTTCCGTGACAATCTTGCTGTATCGCGCGAATATATTGGTACCTATGTCACCGATCTGCTCACCGAAGCAGCAACCAAAGTGATAAGCAAACATGATGCCCACAAACAACCCTTATTTTTGCTACTAAGCCAACTGGCGCCGCATGCCGGCGATGAGGATGATCCATTACAGGCGCCTCCTGAGGAAGTAGAGAAATTTGCATATATTAAAGATGCGCAAAGGCGAACGTATGCAGGTGAGTTGGTGGGAAGGGAAATACAGTACGCTTTTTGTCAAGAGCAT